TTGTTTTCTGTGAACAATTTAAAGTTGTCGCAAGCTCTTGTTGGGTAATTTGAGGATTTTGCACCAAAAGAGCTTGAAGAGCTTCTTGATCAAAATTGGACACACGGCCTCGACCACTCTTGTCATCTAACGAAAAATTTCCCTATCGAAATTTCTCAAACCAACGCTGGCATTTTCTGGCGCTAACTGCATCTTGACCAAGAGCACTACAGATGTTTTTTGCAGCCTCACTTGCTTTTCTTCCTAATTGGAACTAAGCATGCAGTGCCGAATATGCTCTTCATCCGCCATCTTCTTAGCCCTAGTTTTGCAACAAAAACCAAACCAAACACAAACTTTTTCAAGCAAAACTTGTTAATTGCACTTCACACGTTCTGTCGATACCACGTGTTTGAAGGTTATGTCAATACAAGTCAACACCAAGCAAGATTTTAAACGAATGTTTAAAAACGACATTAATTATTACTAGACCCATTATTTCTAAAAAAAAAAAAAAAAAAATTTAAACCAAAATTTCAGTGGGCAATAGATTGGAAATCTTGCCCAAAGAGACCTTATTAACATGGTCTTCATCAAAATGCAGGGTCTACTTGAAGATGCTGTCTTTACTAAACTAAAATTGGGGCTTAAAAACTAATGTCAGTCTCTGGCATCTTCACACTGACTAGCTGAAAAGACACAAGTAGCCTATGAATTAAAATGCACCCAGTTCTCACCAGAAGACAAATACCCAGCAGTGAAGGCCCAGAAGGTGGCAGTCTCTTTTTCCCAGGAAAATAGGGGACATTTCATGTCCCTCCTGCAGGCCTGCTCCTGGCACATCAGGCCACCAGGTTTCCTGCAGGGCTCACTGGGGGAGCAGTGGCCTGATGCCATTGGCCACATGGAGTTCTTCCTTCCTCCACCAGCGCACAAGGACCAACCCAAGGTAGACCCTTACCTTGGGGCAGAAGGAAGTGCTGCTGTTGTTTGTGTGTCTGCCGCTTTGAACACTTACTGAGCTCTCCCAAGGCCTTGACGCTGGCTTCTCCATCTCCCCAATGTGGTTGTTTGAGACCTAGTTCTGGAGTCTTGATTGCTGGTGACCAACTTTCTATCCTGGAGCTTCTGCCAGAAGGACCCTGGGACCTTTGATGAAGCTCCAGGGCAGGACGTTGGTTTCCAGCTCTCAAAGCTCAACATCCAGAGTGATGTGGCGGATTTCCTTGCCTCGAAAGGACCCTTCTATGGGCCAGTCACATCTAGGAGGGACAAAGGCCAGAGGACTAACTGACAAGGAAAACAAGTGTGTACATAGAGATTTAAGAACCTCTTCATCTTAACAATCGAAGGGACAAACTCTCAAATCTGCACTCTCCTCCGTAATGAGCTGAGGAAAAGCCCCTAAGTATACTGTGCGGTGGATTGTTGGTGAATTCCCCTCCCTCACCCCCACCCCCTATCCCCCTTTTCCTCTCTTCAGCAGCATCAAGCTCCACTGAGAGGAAAAACATAAACCATCTTGGAGGGCTGGTGCACTACACCTCAGAAAGGGGAATTTCCCCAAGCAGAGCTGGGGGTGAGGGAGGGGTGTAGGACAGGCCTGGGGAGGTGATTTTAGAAGTGCAAGCCTGGTGGGGGAGTTTTTCTTCACACCATCTGCAGGGAAGTGGTTACAGTCTACTATTGTACAAATCCTCCTGAAATGAGAAAGAACACCTAGGGAAATCGGTACATTGTTGAGAAGCAGGGCTGCTTGGCTTCTTCCTGGGAGCTCTAAAGACTTTTACCACAGTGGTGGCTCTGCCTGAGGGGCAGAGGGAGGAGGGCAGGCCCCTGAAGAGCCATCTTCCCCTGTCATTCTCCAGGTAGCCAACTGTGGGCTGGCTGCCATTTTTTTTGCAATTTAAGACACTAAGGGAATTTCAATGAGATCAGCCCTGTGTGTGTGAAGAAAGAAATAGCTTGTTTGGGGGGGGGGGGGGGAGAGAAAAAGTACCATGTTGTGTGTTACTGAGTTTCAGTTTTTTTAGTGTGTGTGTGTGTGTGTGTATCAGAGCAAACGTACAGCCACCTATACAATTCGTCATGTAAGCTATTACAAGTTCCATTACCGAAAGGAGGAGGGACGAGGACACCCAAAGAACATGAAATTATTTTTAAAAACTCATTCTAGGAAAAGGAAATGCCAGAGTGGAGAGATAAGGAGTCTTAATTAAGAACAAATTCATCTATTTCCCTTCTTCCACATGAGACACTCTTCTCTGGCAATTTGCTTGGAGAGCAGTTTTGCATCATAAATCTGGGACATGTTTTTTTTTTTTTTTTTTTTTTTTTTTTTTTTAAATGTGTGTGTTTGCTTTGCATGAGGCTTAAGAAAAACACAGCAACCAAACCAAACCAAACCTCCCAGTCCAGCCCTGGAGAAAAAAAAAGAGGACACCTAATCACCCGTGATGGCCATTACATAACCGAGAAACGGTACACACACAAACCCACAACCCCCGAGGGTCTCCCCACCCCGGAACCCGCCTTTGGCTTCCTGTGTCATCCAAGCCACCCTTTCCCCCTGCTCCTTTGTGAGGATCCCTAGAGACTGCTTCTTGCAGACCAAGTGGATCTCTGTGGTAGAGGTCACTTAAGAATGATCCCAAGCCCCCATGAAGCCTGGATCCACATCTACAGTGAATCTGCATGTAGGGTAGCAAAAGCTCCCGCTCTGTCTCTCATCGGTGCCCACCCGTGAGCTGCCCCCACCAAGGAGAAGGCCTGGCTGGGGGATGGGAGGATGGGGGGATGGGAGGTGGAGGGGCGCCCCTCCCAGAGGCCTCAGACCCCGCAGCCAGGCCCTTCCTTCCCCGGGCAGCCCGAGTGCTCCTCTCTTAGAGAATGCCAGGTACTCTGGAAAGTAGCCGTGTAATAATACACAAACCCCTGATGATGTCAGCGTGTTATTGACTTTCCAAGTCTGAATGACTGAGCAGAGGAGCGGGGGTGGGGCGCCATCCATCCGGCAGCGCGGGGACCGGCCGAGCGAAAATGGGCTCGGCGGCCGGCGGGGGAGGGGCGGCGGCGGCCGGGCGCTCGGGCTCCGCCGCGGCGGCCGCCGGGTGGTGCAGCGCGGCCGGCGGGGCGGGGGTCCCCCGCTCCTCCGCTGTTTACGTTTGGCCCAGCTCCTCGGGCACAAATACCTGAGTTCGACACCCCCCCCCCTCCCTTCTTCCCGGAGCTTCCACCACGTGGCAGGACCTGGTTGCACCGCGGGGAGCTGAGCGCGAGCAGGGGGCCCCTCCCCGCTGCTCCCTTCCCCCACCCACCCTGCACCGGAGCCTCACCCTCCGGCTGCAAACCCGGGGGTCGCCTTCCCCGGGGGTCCTCTCCTCCGGCCTAAGTCGATCCCCTTTGGGGATTGCACCGCAGCGGGGAGAGGCGGTGCATTTTATATGGGACGTGGCTTATGGCTTCGCTGATGGCGCTGGCAGCCAGCGCAGGTGCCGAGCTGGGGGGGGCTCCCGTTCTCCTCACCCGGCTCGGGGGCCACGGGGCAATCTGTCATCTCCCGGGCTAAGGTGGGAGCCGGGCTGGGTTGCCCTTAAATGGAATTGCACGGAGCCTGCGGCCGCGGTCTGCAGGGAAGCGCTCCAAACCGGGGCGTGGCGATCCCCACGGGCCTGGACCTCGCTTTCGGGCCACGCGGCTCCCTCCCCACCCCCGCTCCCCCTGCCCCCGCCGTGCTGGGCCCCCCTTTGGGGCCAGGCGCCCAGAGGCCTGCGGGCCGCGGAGCTCCCTGGCGCCCTCACCCAGCCCCTGGAACCTCCCACCTCATCCCCCACCCCGTCCCAGGAAGTGCAGGCCCCACTGCAAGGGGCGAGTCCCCTCCTCCCCCACCCCCACCCCCACCCCCAGGCTGGGTCTGTGGGAGCACCGTGTGCTGCAAACCGCACGGAGGCGGGGAGCTGAGCTGAACCTCTCGGTCTCCCAGGTCTGTAAAAAGACGGGGAGAGCAGTAATCCCCTCTTAACGGCTGCAAGGATGAGAAGAAAGCCAGATTTCGGAAGGGGCTGACTCCCTTTTAAAAGATAGGGCAGCCCTTGGCCTTCTTTTACAAGAGTTCCTTACTGGCCAGGCCCGGCCTGCAGAGAAGCCAGAGGGCCCATTGTTTTCCAAACTCGTCCCTTCCCCCACTCCCGGCTGTGGAGGCCTCCCCGCACCCACCCACTCCCACCGGGTTTGCAGTCAGACAAGAGCTGGTTCACGGCCAGGGTGGGGGTGGGGCGGGGAATGTGCCTCTGACCTAAAGTCAACCGTGTGCACCGCAGGCTTCCCAGAGCCTCGGCCCCTCCCCCACCCCCGCCTTGCTGCTTGGGATTGGACCAGACGTGAAGAGCTGTTACTATTTTACTCCAATCATAAGCCTTGGGGAATTTTGAAACTGGGAGTGAAAAGGTCCGTTTCCCCTCCCCCTTTCCCCATCCGCCCCCTCCCCCATGAGGGCTAACACTGCAAGATACAAAGTTGGAATTCTTCTCTGAAACCATGTTTCCCACCACGCGGAGGAGAGGCCAATCTGAAGACAGATAGAGACAAAGACAGAGATAGAGAGGCCAGGGAGGGGGTGGGGGAAAGGGAAGGGTGGGGGCGGAGAAGGTGCCTGTGATGCAATGTTGGCAGGGCTAGTGCTTGTGTCCCTGGTACTGTCCTGCCTGCCCCAGATTCTTTGTGACAATCCAGTACACACACACACACACACACACACACACACACACACACACACATATATATATATATATATATATATATATATATATATATATATATATATATATATATATATATATAATATTTTTTTATTGATTTCAGAGAGGGAGAGAAAGCTAGAAATAGCAGTGATGAGAAAAAATCATTGATTGGCTGCCTCCTATTGGGGATGGAACCAGGGCATGTGCCCTTGACTAGAATCAAACCCAGGACCCTCAGATCCAAAGGCCCATGCTTTATCCATTGACCCAAACCGGCTAGGGCCAGTCTAGTATTTTTTTTTTTTACAACAAATTCCTATTGTTTACTTGCAACCAAAAAAGTTCTAATGAATTTGCCAACATAGCATGTATTCATCTAATGTGAAATCTATCTTAGTGGATTTCAAGACTAGCTCCCACCCCAACTGTGAGCCCAAGAGTGCAGAGCACTGTCAGGGTGCCTCCTAGCAAGGTGCTCCACAAATGCCCTTCAAACTTAGCAAGGTCAGGGGACAGGAAGTGCCCTGTCGGCTGCATCAGGAGCCTGCAACTGGTTAATTTAAAGGGGAAACATTACCTTTTGCTGCTGTATTCTGGAAGCCCATTTATTCTTGCCCTCGTGGTAATGAGGGCTTATTCAAGTGACTAGAAGGAGGAAAGAGAAGAAACTTTATCCCCTTTAAGTTGCATTTAATAAAAGTCTTGGAGAAAATCAGTGAATTGTCAGGCTTAATAATTCCCCTCTGGTATTTTGTTGGAGAGAAGCTGCTGAAGTAATGTACAGTATTCAACGTTTATGGGACAGCAGATCCACAATTTATCTAAGAATAAAGTGCTGTGGTGACCTAATCTTTTTTTCCCTCCTCGTTTGTTTCCAAAAGGTTTTTTTCCAGCCCATGAGTCACTTCCAGTCAGATCCAAAGACAAAAGCCGGTTAATGGTGTGTCGTGAGTCAGGCTCCCACCCTGCCTTATCGTGAACACCCTTTCTAGCTCCGCGAAGACAGAACGCTTTTCATCCTGCGGGGCGGAGAGGACCTTGTTACACCCCGCTTCTGGGCAGGGCTCTTCAGGGAGCAGTACCGGGCCCTCCCATCTCACCCTGGCATCTGGCAGCTGATCTCTCCACTGATAGCACCATGGGGTGGTTCCTTCCCAGGGTTATTTTCAATCTGGAACTCCCCACACAACCTCTCCTGTTCCTAAGGCACCCTGGTGAGCCCAGGGATACAAAAGTGAACATAAAAGGAGGCCCCAGACTTCTAGTCATTTGTCGAATCATAAAAGAAGAAAGGCAGAGAAGAATCACCCTTAGCTGAGCTTTGAGGACCCTGGAAGGAGTGGTACTGAGGCTAATGACTTCCCAGTGTCCATCTCTCAGCAGCACTTTATCCAGTTGACTGTTTCCAACTTCTTGAAACACTTTCTCCCGGGGCTTCCTGGATGCCACTCTCTTTGTTTTCCGGCCAATTCTCCACTCCCCAACCCCACATCACCTCCCACCCCATCTCTCCACTAACTATTGTTCTCTTCTAGATAATGGTACTGCATCCACCTGGCTGTTCATCCCAAAGAAGCAATCCTGATGTGTTCTTTCCTCTCACCACATTCAGCCCATCAGCTTATTTACCTTCCAGAGATGTCTCCCCGCTGCCTGTCCCACCTCTACCCTGCCACCTGGCCTCCTAGTCCTTACATAATCGGGTCCCTTTATGCATTCAAATGACCTTCCCCAGCTCTCTCCACTCCAGCCATGTTACACCCCTTTTTCTTCTTCTACCAGCTCACCCCTTTCCACCCCGAGGCTTCTGCTCTTGTTGATTCCCTCTGCCTGAAAGACCCTCTGGCTCTTTCTAGGACTGGCTCTCCCATATCTATCTTAATCCATTCTGGGCTGCTCAAACAAAAATTCTATAGACTGAATGGCTTACACGACAGAAATTTATTTCTCCCGGTTCTTGGAGGCTGGAAGTCCCGAGGTGCCAGCAGATTCAGTATCTAGTGAGATTCCCACTTCCTGGATTGCAGACAGACACCTTGCAGTATCACATGGTTTCGAAGGAAATCCTCTCTCATATGTCTTCTTATAAAGGCACCAATTCCATTCGTGAGGGCTCTACACTCATGACCTAATCACTTTCCCAAAGGCCCCACCTGCTTATATCTTCCTATTAGGAACTAGTGGTACTGAGGCTAATGACTTCAGCATAGGAATTGGGGGAGACGGGGGTGAGGAGGGGACAGAAGCATTCCGTCTATAGCAGTACCCTCCAGGTTTCAGTTCAGTGGTCACCTCCCCAGTGAGGCCTCCCATGACCGCGTTCTTTCACATTGCCCAGTTTATGGCCTACACAATACTCACCATGATCTGTGGTGATCAATCAATCACCTTATTGCTTTATTCACATGCTTCTTCATTCCCCGCCTCCCCATTGGAATAGAAATTCCAGGAAGGCAGAGATCGTATCAGGCTTGTTCATTGTTCATTGATGTGTTCACTGACCAATATCTATTTTATAGTAGGCACACATGAAGACCCTTTTGATGAATGAAGGCAGGCGGTAGAGAAAGGTCAGGCTAGACACAGCTAATTGAGCTCAAAAAAGGAAGTTTGCCAGGTGGACTTAAAAAGAAAGGAACCTCCGAAAGGCACCGAAGGCATGAGACTACCTAGAGTGCTCATGGAACCCTCTCTTGACCTCACCTACCCTCCCAGCTATTCCTTATGACTCTGCTCCCTTTATTGCTAAACAGTGTTCTGAGGATTGCCTTGACTCATTGTTTTCAATTCCTCCCCTCCCATTCTCTCCTACTTATCACCCATCAGGCATTCTCCCCAAACCCAACCAACCATCTCTGTATTATTACATTCAACTGTCAGTTTTCAGGCTCTTCCTGGTGAACTTATCAGCAGCATCAGATAAAATTAATCACTGGTTCCTTCTGGAAACACTTACCTCATCTGGGACACTACCCTCTACTGTTTTTTTTCTCCTCGCTGACTGACTGTACTGTCCCAATCTCCTTGCTGATTCCTCTACTCTACCCATCTTCTGAACTCCGAGTACTAAAGCACTTCATATCCAAATCCTATAGGCTCTATTTTTAAAATGGACACCTAATCTGTTTGCCTCTTACCATTTCCACTGCTGGTACCCTGGTCTGAACCATTATCTTCTCTCACCTGACTATCGAAACAGCTCCCCTAATTGGTCTCCCCACTTCTACTCTTCAGTCTGTTCACACACAACAGCCAGAAGGGCCCTTGGAAAACATCTGTTAGATCATGTCATTCCCTGCACAAAACTCTCCAATGGCTTTCCATTATAGAGTCAAAGCCAAAATATTGTACTCATAGCAACACTGGAGGACTACCGTATCTGGACCCACTGCCCAGCTAATTTCCTCTGCTCTCCTGCTTTCACTGTATTCCCACACAACAGCCTCTTGGCTGTTTCTCAAACATGGTAGTGGCTTCCTGTCTCAAGACCTTTGAGGTAGCTGTTGCCTCTGCTTGGAAAGCTATTCTCCAAGATGTTTGCTTGGTTTGCTCGTTATATCAGCTTGCTGCTATAACAACAATGCCTTCTCAGAGAGACCCTACTCTGATCCCCCTCCATAAAACACCCCATTCCCAGCACAACTAAAGCTCCCTATATTGCTCTAAACATCGTTCTCATCACTTTCTAACATGTGGTGTAGTGTCTATTATCTGTCTCCCCATACAATGTTAGCATGGTTTTATTTATTGCTATATCGCCAGCACTAAGAGCAGGGCCTGACACTCATTAGCACTAGGCATGTATTACGTATTTGCAAATAAATATCAAAATTCAGAATGAAATTTTACAGACTGGAACCTAAAACTGAACCATAAAGTGTGGTCAGTAATCACAGCAGAGATGAAACTAGAGAAATAGCAGAAGCATTATTTTCCCATGGCTCTGTATACTATGCTACTAGTAAATTGTTTGGGTTTTATCTCACAGGCAATGGAATCGCCTTGAATCTTTCAAAGCAGTGATCGCTTGTGACAGAGACTGTGTCTGAAGTGGCAATGGATGGATCATGGACTAGAGTAGGGTAGAGCTGGTGGCCCAGAGCCCAGGTGGCAGGCTGTGGGCATTTGGACTGATGAGCAGGGAGCCTTGTCTGTGCCTCTCACTTCAAGCTGTGTGAGCAGTTGCTATCTTTGCTCATTGGCCTTCCTGACAAAGGCTCCTGATGTGCGGCAGAAAGAATGTTGGGAAGGAGGCCCTCTTAGCCAGACTTCTTCCCATTGAATCTCAAACTACGGCTCTCGCTTGAGTGTATATTGTAAGAAGAATAATCACTTATGCTTATATAATACTATAGAGCTTGCGAAGGCTATTTCCCACTATTTCTTCTAAAAATTCAAAGATCCAAAGTACTCTAGCCAGTATGCTTAAGTATCTTGCCACTTCACCAGTTAAGAAAGGAAACAATACTTATGTCCTGAAAATGCACTAGGGAACTGTTCTGGTGAACTGCTGAGAATATAGTTGGAACACAATCCGGGGTACTTCTAACAAATACCATATTGGACCTTAAATTTTCAGAGATTAAAAGTTAATGGTAGTGTTCAGCCAGATCCCAGAGGTTCTTTCTTTCTTTTTCTTTTTTCCATTGCATTTTAGGGAGAGTGGAAGGGAGGAGGAAAGGAGAAAGGGGCGGGGGGGGGGGGGGGGGGGAGAGGGAGAGAGAAACATCAATGTAAGAGAGACACAGTGATTGGTTGCCTTACATACTCATCCTGAATGAGGCCCAGGATCAAACCTGCAATCTAGGTAAGTGCCCTTGACTGGGAATGGAATCCCTAACCCTTCAGTGTTCAGACCAACAGTCCAACCAATGAGCAACACTGGCCAGGGCCCATAAGTTCTTCAGAATCCATCAAATGACTCTCCTCTCTGTAGTATTTGCACAGAGACACACATAAAGATCCTAACAGGTAAAGTAAGTACTTTCCCCAGTTACTTCTACACAGAGTAACAGATTGCACTTTTCTTCCCCTAACCACTGAGAATGCATTCAGGCTTATAAGAATATATATAGGACTCTCAGGAGTTCCCCTTCAGTCCCCCTAATAACACATATAGCCTTGGTGCATTCCCATGCCTGTCTTCCTTTGCAGAAACCCAATTTGCCCATGACTGTATTTGAATGTTACAGTTCAAGGGATTAGTTTTACATAGACACATAAATTTGCAAAGCTGGAAGCAGCTTTAGAAATTATCCCACGAGTCTAATCTCTTCATTTGCCAGATGAGAAAACCGAGGTTCAAAGAGCAAAGGGAAGGAAAAGGGAAAGAAAACTGATACTTCCTCAATAGATACCATGATCCAGGCCAGTGACAAGCAGCATTCCATACATGACTTCCTATATTTCTTGGAGGTGGATGTATTAGAGTTCTCCAGGGAAACAGAACCAATATATAATCTAGGTCTAGATGGTTCTAATACTTCCCACCATCTGGCATTTTTGTTGTTATTGTTAATCTTCACCCAAGTATAAAAGTACTTTCTTTCAATTTATTTTTAGAGAGAGTGGAAGGGGAAAGAGAGAAAACACATCGATTAATTGCCTCCCACACAGACCCCTACTGAAGCTGGAGATCCAACCTGCAACCCAGGTACATGCCCCATTACCAGGAATCAAACCTGCAACCCTTTGGTGTGCAGGCCTGCACTCTAACCACTGAGCAAACACTGGCTAGGGCCATCTGGCATTATTTAATAATGTTTTTCCTGTCTCTCTCTCTCTCTCTCTCTCTCTCTCTCTCTCTCTCTCTCTCTCTCTCTCTTCAATTTGACAGGATGTAATTTCTCTCCATCATTTTAAGAAATGACACAATATCTTCACCCAGTAAGACCATTTCTTCAGTTGGAAATAAGTTTTCAAATATTAAATGGGGATATAAAATGAGGAAACTGCTTTTAAAGAAAGATATGAACTCTTCCACTTCAAAATGATGTTGTCCCAAATAAAAAAGCTACCCCAGGCAACAATACACTCATTCCATTACTCAAAATTCCTCTGTGTCTCCTCTTTTGAAATTGCTTTAGGGCCTGTACCACTTGCTTTTCCAAAGCACTGTAGTTTTAATGTTAGCAAATGTTCATTGTTTGATTCAAGTTTTGGTCAACAGCCCAAAATTATCTGGTACTAAATCTGATGAATGAGGTACATGATCAAGCAAATACAGTTTAGATTAAGGGGGGGGGGGGGGAGGAAGAAAATAAAAGAAATGTGACTGTAAATAACAAGTGATTTTCTTTATGAAGTCAGAAAAGTGTTTTCAAAGGCTACTCTGTCTCTGCACTGAGAGCAAAGCTGGAATAAAAGTTTAAGTTGAAAAAAGTCGCCTTTCAAGTGACCGCACAGGGTAGACAGTAATCTATCTAGTTGATTCTATGACTTCATGGTCACTCAAGTGTTAAGGTTGTTTTAAAAATAATCAATGTTTTTAGAAGTATTTTGGAATGAGATACTCCTACACAGTCACTGGTTAGTTGTGGCTAGATGAAGATTTAGACAACAAAGTCAGGAGCTATAATATATTATTAGCAGTTATAATTTCAAAAAAATTAGAATTTACCATTATTTTTTTTATTCCTGGTAATGCAAAGAGAAAATCGGACAAAGGGTTTTTATTGGGAATATTTTCTCCTTTTTCAATAAAGCACAAGTGAAAAGATCTCTCTCCCAAAAGCAAATTCAAGAAAACGTAGGTCTTTGGAAGTTGAGGAAAGCATGTCTGCCTGCTGCGCAGCTGTCTTTCTGAATGTCCCCTCGTAATATCCCTTGTAATCCATACATGGCAGTCCCCTTAGATTCCACACATAATTAACACTTGGCAGAAATAAGACTAGTGAGCCTGAGGGTCTCTTAAATTTCATTTAAGAAATGCAGATTTCCATGAGGGTGACTTGGGAAGGGGAACACAAGCCCCTCTTCTCTTGTAGTATTCCCAGTCGCTGAATTTTACATGATTTTATAAAGATGTCCTCAGCCAGTCAAAAGGCATTTATTGATCGTCCACCATGTGTAGGCACTGAGTCTACATGTTGAGGGGGCTGCAAAATGATGTGAAACAAAATTCCAAGTCTTTCATTTTGTTGAGGTTACTACAAGTCCCAAATAATATCAAGAGGGGGAAAAATGACTGAGGACTTGGAAAGGCTAAAAAGAGGCTTGTCAGAGAGATGAAAAGGAACCATATGGAACTATGGATGGTTAGGATGCTGATGGCTAGGGTTGGGGTTAGGGGGAGGGTGTCTCAGATCAGCCATACAGATGGACATTGTATAGTCAGGACATCATGTAGTCCCACTCCAGGAGGCCTTCCAAGACAAGCTAAGGATGGAGCCCCTGGGAGGCTGCAGAAGGCCTGCTTGACATTTTGCATCCATTCAGAGAGTTGATGACTCTATTTCAGGCACCTTTTTAGGCATTGTGCTATTCATGGGAATCTAAGGGAAGTCATTTGATGGTTCCGTGTTTTCACTGCAATAAAAGACAAAGCTATCAGTTGAGAACATGGAGTGGGGAGTAAGCGTTGGGGCTATTTATTTTTATTTTGAAGAGCTAATAGTTGTATACAATAGCACATACAACTGGTATAAAAGAACAGAAGAAAAATCCCTCCTCTGCCTCTGTCCACCAGCTTCCTGGTC